TTTTTTTGAGACAGAGTCTTGCTCTGTTGCCTGGGCTAGAGTGCCATGGCATCAGCCTAGCTCACAGCAACTTTAAACTCCTGGGCTCAAGTGATCCTCCTGCCTCAGCCTCCCAAGTAGCTGGGACTACAGGTGTGCGCCACCACACCCAGCTAATTTTTTCTATTTTTAGTAGAGACAGGGTCTTGCTCTTGCTGAGGCTGCTCTCGAGCTCCTGAGCTCAAGTGATCCTCCTGCCTCGGCCTCCCGGAGTGCTAGTATTATAGGCATAACCCACCGTGCCTGGCCTGATTCTAAAGTTTTAGTGCCCTTGTGTGGTATATAGAATATTTTATGTCAACAGGTTATCTTGACCAGCTCTGTAAAATTAAAAACTAGACATTTATTTTCTTGGTTTTTGCTGTTAAAAGAAAATTGTCAAAATTATGAAAAGGAAACCTAGATCTCTGCACCCTAAGCAGTAGACTGGCTTTTATTTTCATGGCATTTGTGCATACATGATTCACAATCATGATGTAGCACTGCTGCTCTCACTTTGTTGATGTGCCATATATAACTTAGCTATTCCCTTATTCTTTAGATATTTTTAATGGCTTTCATCTTTTTACCATTTTATGACACTGTAATGAAAATATTCATGCATAATCCTAAGAGTGGGTCTACTGGGTTAAAGAGTATATAATATTATGGTCCTATAAACACATTTTCAAACTTTTTAAGCAGTTTATACTACCACCAGTAATATATTAAAATACTTAGTTTCCCAACATCTTTAAAAGGTTGAGATTTACTAATTTTAATTTTTGTTAATTTTAGTAGGTTTAAAATGATAACTTTGATGTATAGTTCTTTCTACTGTACATTTTACAGTTTTTAAAATTTTTAACTAAATTGATTTAAAATTAGTGGTTTCTTTAGAAAGCTAGGAATTTGGGAGAAATATGGGAAGTTAAATCTGTCAAGTCATTGCAGTTTGCCTTTTTATCCGTTTGAGTTTTCTTCCCTTCTCTCACAGTTGATTGTTCTGTCACCTTCCAGTGCTGCTATGAGAGCTGCCTTGAGGGTCCCTAGCTTGATAGTTCCACCATTGGATGGAAATAATTTGTACTTCTTTGGTGTCTTGGTCTTTCAGATTGGGAGAATGATTATTGATGGAGGCACATCATTCATCATACTTTGAAATGTTTCTTAGACTATATCTTAAGGTTAAAAGTATAAAGGAGAAATAAGCTATTTATAATTTAGTATGGGGGAGGCTTCCTGCAGTATTCAGATTCAGGGTCAAAATAGGATACTAAAGATTTGTCATGGCTCAGTGCAGTGGCTCGTGTCTGTAATCCAGCACTTTGGGAGGCTGAGACAGGAGGATTGAGGTCAGGAGTTTGATACTAGCTTGAGCAACATAGCCAGATCCCATCTCTACAAAAAAAAGTAAAAAAATTGGCTGCATGGTGGCATGTGCCTGTAGTCCTAGCTACTCAGGAGGTAGGTAGGGGTGCCCAGGCTAAACAGTAGGGCTGGACACAGGGTCGGTGGCCCAAAAAGAGTGCTGAATTTTTGCTGCACATGCTTAAAAATGTAGAGAGTAATGCTGAACTTTAGGGTTTAGACGTAGATTCTTTGGTCATTGAGCATATCCAGGTGAACAAAGCACCCAGGATGTGTTTGCAAACTTACAGAGCTCATGGTCAAATTAACCCATACATGAGCTCCCCCTGCCGCAACGAGATGATATTTACGGAAAAGGAACAGATTGTTCCAAAACCAGAAGAGGAGGTTGTACAAAAGAAATAGATATCCCAGAAGAAACTGAAGAAACAAAAACTTATGGCATGGGAATAGATACAACATAAAATAAATGCAAATGACAATAAAAAAAAAATCCAATGAAATTAAACTGCTCAAGACTGAGACCGAAAATACGGGTAGGGTGGATTTTTTGTTTGTTTGCCTTGTCTTTTTTGAGTAATCCTGGATTGTATCACTCTACTTTGGGGCATGGATGGCTTTGGAAAAGCCCAGCTCCATTCTTCTTGGCGTGTTTCCTTCTTTTTTTTTTTTT